TTTTCTTTTCTGTTTTAGCAGTCAGATGGAACCGTCGGTTTTTTATTTTGGTAATCTTCCGGTAAGAAATTCCGACGGCAACGATGCGGACACGGAGGGTTTCAAGCATAGCGTGGATGAAATTTTCGAAAAAGTTGATGAAGTAAGTTAGTGATCATTGAAAAAAAATACGCGTAGAATGAATGTTGTGAAAGATTTGAGGATTATTTTGGTTTTTGCTTTTCAATCTTTAGTTGGAGCAAAGAATGAATGAGGTTGAGCAGTTTTACTTGGGTATAAGTAAAAAGAAGCAGAGTGGTTTTTCGAAAGGTGGTGGTAGCTCGATTGTGAAAGATAAAGATAAAGAGAGGCATGTTCCTAGTATTAGGAAACAGCAGCAAGATGCTTGGAAACGAGATGCTGCTGCTGCTAAGAGAATGCAAGAGCTTATGCGCCAATTCGGTACCATATTGTGTGAAGTAATGTATCCCTCGGTGCTTTCTATGTTTTTCGTTTGTCTGGATGAAACCTGATTTTACCTTTCTGTTATGAAATCTTAAGTTGGATTGAGAAATTGCTGTCTGGATTGTTTAATATGTTATGGAAATTGGTTCCTTTTACCCCTGCTATATCTCATTGTTATGATGACAGACCAATTAGTTATGGAAATTTGTTCTTGGATGCTCGAGGTTAAAGAAACAAAATAAGTGTTACGAGCTGATTTTCGTTATCTAATGTAGTTTCTTTTTTGTTGCCTTCAGATCACACAGCACCAATGGGCTTGGCCTTTTATGCAACCTGTAGATGTTAAAGGTCTTAGGTTGCATGACTATTATGAGGTGAAGTTATAGCATCCTTCTCAATTTCCTATTTCATCAGCATGTACCATAACAGAAATCACATGAAGCGCATTTACCCTTTTCCAGTGACTGAGCAGGAATCGTTAAGTTTTTGAACATGATACAACACACAAACCCCATTTAAACATGTATCGAGTTGTTTTTAAAAGGATAGCGAATTGTGCTTTCAACTTTTAGTTTGTGTGATCAGGGATCACGCACATGCAGGTGTGACTTGTTACTTAGTTGGGAATATGACCCACCATGAATTTTAGTTGTTTCAACCATTTATCACTCTGGTTGTTAATTGCTCTACCATTTTAGAGTTGGATTCCATCTGAATATGACTTAAATGAATTTGGAACATATGGTATTCAATAGGTTATCGACAAGCCCATGGACTTCAGTACAATAAAAAATCAAATGGAGGCTAAGGATGACACAGGATATAAGAATGTCAGAGAGATAAGTGCTGATGTGAGGTTAGTGTTTAAGAATGCAATGAAATATAATGATGAAAGAAGTGATGTTCATGTTATGGCCAAAACTTTGCTGGGAAAATTTGAGGAGAAGTGGCTAAAACTTCTACCTAAAGTCACTGAAGAGGTATGTGTTATTGAGCTATCTTAGTCCATGATCTTTTTGCTGAGAGAAATGCAATTTTATGGAATACCAAATCAATACACACAGGAAAAAAGAAGAGAAGATGAGGAAGTGGAGGCTAAATTGGATATGCAGCTTGCTCAGGAGGCTGCTCATGCTAAAATGGCTCGTGATTTGAGTAATGAGGTATACTGAAACTTCACAGCCTTTCTCACAAATATATAAGGCACTGAAAAACCTTTTAATTTGCTTCCTCCCATGCTTGATCTATTAATATTTTTGTATAACTATAGAATTCTCCATAAGCATGTTGAAATTGATTTTCTATTGGTATAATCAAGCTCAACCATGCATTTCATCTTGTATTAGGGTTAGGTTGAAAAATATGTATTAAGATTCTGTAATGACCTGTTTTCAGCTTTATGAGGTTGATATGCATCTGGAAGAGCTTCGGGATATTGTTGTTCAAAAGTGCAGGTTAGTGGTGGTCCAACTTCGTATATGTAGTGGATAAGACTGCGAATACAAAAGTTGTTTCTTTATAGGTGTATTCTGGGTATGCTTAAAAGCTAACTTACGAGTTACATCTGCTCGAAGATTTAAAATTCTGTTTTCCAATTCTCCATGGAAACTAAGTTAATTTTGAAAATTCCATTCCAGAAAGATGTCCACTGAAGAGAAAAGAAAGCTTGGGGTGGCTCTTACGAAACTTTCTCCTGAAGATCTAACTAAAGCCTTGGAGATTGTTGCTCGGAATAATCCAGGCTTCCAAGCAAAAGCTGAAGAGGTGGATCTCGACATTGATGCGCAGGTCATAATTTATGTTACAGTTATTGCCTCTTTGTTAGATTCTTAACGAACTGTTTGGTAAAGGAATGAATTGTTGAGCTTGCTCTGTTCCCGTTGCAGACTGAATCCACCCTATGGAGGCTAAAGTTATTGGTGAAAGATGTGTTGGAAGTCCAGGGAAAAAGTGCGGCAAGCACAGGTGGCAATAACAACAAGAACAACAAGAACACCAGCAATAACAACAAACGAAAAAGAGAGATTTGCGATGCTATTGCCAAAACTGCCAAGAAAAGGAGTAAAAAGCCCTCTTCTTGATCTTTTTGTACCATAAACAAGTGTTCTTCTGGATTCTGGTAAGCTTTCATCTTGGTTGCATTTTCTCATGGAACAAGGTAGCGGGCAGCAATTCTTACTGTCTGATAACGAGCCTGACTTGTCAAGGCACATATCTTGACTTGTCTTTTGGTAAATGATATTTATCTTTTGAGAGGAGCTAGTTGTTACTAAGCCATTATAATGTGCAATTGTTTAAAAAAAAAAAATCAGATTCAAGCGCTTTTGCTTTTTTTTTTTTTTGCTATGTAAATCTCCTTCGCTTGTGCTGCCACAATTTTGTAAGATGTACATCAACGACAGAGCCGGACACCATTTTTTGCATGAGTTTGAAATGGAGGAGTTGGGCCCCTTCATGACTTGGCCATTTACTCAACACAACACTTTCAACCATCGATTCTGACTTTACACACATCCCACTCTTCTCTGTCAGAGTAGGAAGATAGCTTTGATTGTGTCTGAACTGCCTACTGACTCTCACCCAGAAAACTTCCACACTGGGTTACCTTGTCTTCTGTTTCTGACTGGCATATTCTCTTTGCATCTTAATGTGATCCCGAGAATTTTTGCTTGGTCATCTTTCTTCAAGAAAATGCTTCCCCAATCCCTGTGATGAAAGATACTAGCAAGATGAGAAACGGAGCATTTACCTGTGAGGCCATGACTGTTTAATAAATGAACATTTTGATAGAGTGGTGATGTTCGATTCGTGGATCAATGATTTCGAGTGGTGCTGTTCGTGAGTGATACCTTTGTTTGATGGAGAACAGAGATGGGACTTGAATTTTCTCAACGTGTCCCTTGGAACAGCTGGATGTTTACTGGCGGCAATGCTTTCCTGTTTAAGTTTTGCCGCACCTTATTTTCTTTCTACGCCACGCATGTCTTGCTGCTCATATGGCTTCTTCCCCCGTTATGAACAAGGGGAGGTTTTGTAGCAAAAGTACCTCTATGGAGCACCCATGGGCAGCTGGCTTCGCGATACTTATCTCTTTACACTTGTAGAAAGGATGGGGAAATGTGTGGGGGAGTATGGAGCATCTGAGGGAAATCAGGCCACGGTGCCAGGGAGGGGATGGCTCGCAACCCACTGGTGCTACGCGATGGAAATTGCTGGAACTGGTGGCTGAGCAGTTTGCATCCACCCGCCCTTTCTTTTCAATTCCTTCTATAACTACTCGTTTTTCTCTTACGGCAACATGTCGTCTCCCGGTGTATAGAATGTCAAGTCTCCTGGCTTGACAGTAAATTAATCTAATGTGATTGGTCTGCGCACCAGTTTCATGCACTAATTTCTCCGAAATCACGGCAGGTTGTATGGTACCAGCCAGTTCTTTTGTTTATATATAAACTTCCCTGATCTTTAAAGTTACATTTTAAAGCGAAGGATCCTATTTGTCTTGATGACAACAAGGTTTTAGTATCATCTCATGACACCGCTGAAAGCCGAGGAATGGAAGGCGCACCGAAGGGTTAAGGATATCGATGCCCAATTGCAATGCCATGGGAGGAGGTGCTCCCTCTCCTCTCTTTAATTACTAACAATCGTTAATGGAGTTTAAGATCAAGATTTGGAATCAGATCAACAAAAAAAAAACGATGAAGGTTTTTTGTATAGAATTTAGTCTCTACTATTTTATTCTTCTTCAAAGAAAAGTGCTATTATTTCCATACAAACCTTTGTTTTGTACATGTTGAGGAAAAAGAAAGTAAAATCCTATATAGCACATTACCCCTCTCTCTCTCTTTTCAATCTAAACTTTCAAAAACCCTTATGAGCAATCTATTAAATGTGAAAAACGTATGGATTTAAAACCATATATTTCTACGTAAATCCGTAAAATAGTTAAAATGGATCGATGATTTTTAGACAAGGGTCACCCCTTTTAACTCCTGTAAACAAAATATTGTACAAAAGCTCAATAAGATGAAGTCTACATAACAAAACAGACCCTATACACAGTTATTAGCCCAATCCTAAGAGTTTTATTCTTCAACACCTTGTCAAAGTTTCAGCCCACAACCATCGCTTAAGCTTCGGTATTTGGCATCCTTAAATTCGATATGCACAGGGCTCCCCAATATTAAAGATTTCAATGGTTTCTCTGTCGCCCAAGTTATAAAGCGATGGATGATCTAGTTCATGAACCTTTTCACACTCCAGATTTATGAAATGATGCATGATTGACTGGACAGGACCTCTACACACTTCCAGATGCGCAGAAGAAAGAAAGGAGACACATGAAGACGCTTCCACAGAAAAAAACAACTCTCGGGTTTTTCATCGCATAAACCACCTCTTCCCAGTGTATTTGTACACGCATCCTCGGTGTAAATGGCAGAAACTAATTAAGACAGAAAGCATCCCCGAGACAGAAGCAGAGCTTGCAAAGCATCGCTAGGATGCAATGTATTACATGGCATTCATTCTATCAAGAAAAAGAAAATCCAAAGGAATAACGCGAAATAAAAGATGTACTGACTGATAACGAGTTTTGACATGAAATTTCAGATTAAACACAACACGTCTTCCGAAAGTTCCCTGAGTCCGATAACTAGACATTAAAATTAAAATAAGAGCTCTTCATGAAACTAGAAACATCACCAACATCTAAATTTTGGAGAAGCCAGCACAAATGAAAGCAGAACCTGACTGCAGAAAGAACGTCAAGCCTTGAATCACGCCACCGCCGATCAAGAACCCAGTTCTGTGAACAGCCTTGTGATGATGGTGACCACATAAAACTAAAAGTCTCATGACACAAAGATGGACGTCCATGGGATAGACAACCAATAAAAAGCAAGACATTATTTTTAAAATAGCTTTCAATAGCATCAACCTGCTCGGTTCACTTGCCACCCTTCTTGGCAGCAGATTTGGTCACCTTGGCACCAGAGGGATCCTTCTTCTCCACGCTCTTGATCACACCCACAGCAACGGTCTGGCGCATGTCCCTCACAGCAAAACGACCAAGTGGAGGATACTCTGAGAAAGTCTCCACCACCATGGGCTTGGTGGGAATCATCTTAATCATACCAGCATCACCGTTCTTCAGGAACTTGGGCTCCTTCTCCAGTTCCTTACCAGACCGCCTGTCAATCTTGGTGAGGATCTCAGCAAACTTCACAGCAATGTGAGAGGTGTGGCAGTCAAGGACTGGAGCATAACCATTTCCGATCTGTCCAGGATGGTTCATGATGATAACTTGGGAGGTGAAGTTGGCAGCTTCCCTGGCAGGATCGTCCTTGGAGTTTGAGGCAACAAAACCACGCTTCAGATCCTTAACAGCAACATTCTTAACATTGAACCCCACGTTGTCACCAGGAAGGGCCTCTTGCAGAGCCTCATGGTGCATCTCAACAGACTTGACTTCAGTAGTCAGTCCAGTTGGACCGAATGTGACAACCATGCCGGGCTTGATGAAACCAGTTTCAACACGACCCACTGGGACAGTTCCGATACCACCAATCTTGTACACGTCCTGAAGTGGGAGACGGAGGGGCTTGTCTGAGGGCCTCTTGGGCTCCTGGATCTGGTCGAGGGCATCCAGGAGTGTTGGGCCCTTGTACCAGTCAAGGTTGGTGGACCTCTCAATCATGTTGTCACCCTCAAATCCAGAGATGGGGACAAAGGGAATCTTGTCGGGGTTGTAACCGACCTTCTTCAAGTAGGATGACACTTCCTTGACAATTTCATCATACCTTGCCTTGGAGTATTTTGGAGTGGTGGCATCCATCTTTTCCAAAAAGAACCAGCAAACATCAGTAGAAAGCAAAAAACAACTTACTACAAACATGCAACAGGAAAGAATTCAACGAAATATTAACCACACAGTTAACTTGAAGGAAGAAAAAATAAATATACCTTGTTGCAACAGCAGATCATTTGCTTCACACCCAGGGTAAAAGCAAGAAGAGCGTGCTCACGGGTCTGGCCATCCTTCGAGATACCAGCTTCGAAACCACCAGTGGTGGAATCAATGATAAGCACAGCACAGTCAGCCTGGGAAGTCCCAGTAATCATGTTCTTGATAAAGTCACGATGTCCAGGGGCATCAATGACAGTGCAGTAGTACTTGGTGGTCTCAAACTTCCACAAGGCAATATCAATGGTGATTCCACGCTCGCGCTCAGCCTTGAGCTTGTCCAGCACCCAGGCATACTTGAATGACCTCTTGTTCATCTCAGCAGCTTCCTTCTCGAACCTCTCGATGACACGCTTGTCAATACCTCCAAGCTTGTAGATCAAGTGGCCAGTGGTGGTCGACTTTCCAGAGTCAACATGGCCAATGACCACGATGTTGATGTGAGTCTTCTCTTTACCCATTATGAAATCTTAGTTTTGAGCTGCCATACATATAAAAGTTTAGAATTTAAAAACAAAATACTAGGACACTAAAAATCACTTCTTAAACATTCAACTAGATCTAGTTCAAGTGTCCAGAACAATAATAAATCCACCATGGCATGTCCAATCCAACTTCAATACATCACGATTTCTGAGATATTTTAACACAGCATAACATTCTGTTCACACAAAAAAAAATCACGTACAAAAGATAATCTGCATAAATATTCAATATGATTAATCAATCTAGTTACATCATTATCAGTTTATTTGAGTGGCAATTCTTACATTCAGATTAATCACAACAATATCAAATCAACAACTTGAGAGAACATAGAATAAGTTTAAGAGTTCTTTTCAGTACCAAAACCAACAAAGTCGAAATCAAAACAAAATAATTTACTATCTTATTATAACTGTATAACAATTAAAAAGACACTTCCACTGCAAAAACAAAATAATCTAAAAGACCTGTGTATACGAATCTCAAAAGAAAGTAAAAAGGCACTAAAAAACTAGACCCAAGGCTTGCTCTCGAAACAAAATTGGATTAAAAGCTAATAAATCTAATTGAAATCACAAAGCAATCAAAGACTTCATACGAATAAGAATACCAGTCATTAACTACATAACCACAGTGATTCACAATTAGAGATAAAGACAGGAGCGAAACGAAGAGGCGATAGTGAATCGAACCTGTTAAACTTTAGCCGCTAGCGACGAGGAGGAGGAGGGAATGACGGACTTCTTGATAGGGTTTGTGGATATTTTTATATCACCCTGCTGGTATTTTGGTTTCCTAAAATGTCCTCATTTTGAGGTTAGAATCGCCATCATGTCCTCATACCTGCTCTGTTTTTTATACGGAATCCGCGTGCTTGCTTGGTGATCAAGGACCTTAAACCGTTTTAAAATGAAATAACAAATAACTAAATAAAATGACTAAAAAGAGTAGCTCCAAGTAAATCAATTCTAAACAAAGCATCGACTTTGGGATGTTCCATGAATTTTATTGTACCGAGAGCATAAGCTAAAAGGACAAGATAAAAGAAAATTAAATTCTATCCGTTATTTTTATAATTTCAAAAGAGTAATTATTTTTAAGTTGAAGACCATTTATATATATACGTATATCAAAAATGCCAAAATTTATTTCATATATTTTTATGCATAAAAAAGATTTAATAAATAGTTATATTAATATCAAGTATGTTAAAATACAATTGCTTTTTTAAATAATTTTTTTCCTATTGAAGTATGTATATGAAAAAAAAAATACTATATTTACATTATTTAAAAACTGTATTACCAAGTTGACTTTACCAAATATTTTTAAGAACTGTATTTTAAAGTTGACTTTTTGACATACCAGAAATTTTTATATTTTTTTAGAACTCTCAGCTTCTAAAAGTTTTGATTTTTTTTATTATTTTAATATAAAAATAAATTTTTAAAAATAAAAAATATAGATTATTGTAATAAATTTCTAAAAAAACAAAAACCCTACGTCATGATTGTCTATAAATGTTTAGTCTATATATTAGTGAAATGCCTTCTTGAATCTACACGACAAAGCCCATAAATTTAACAGAAAATGAAAGAACGCTTGATAGAAACAAGAACTGGCGCTTCACAACGAAGACCATTAGAGCTACCTGTATTGGCCCAAGGTAAATTAAAATGACAACAAGAGGCAGCGCATTTCAACGCATTCTAAATAGTACAAAATACAAGAAAGAGATCGACAAGTTTACGACAGCTGAATATGAGCAGACAGAAAGGAAAGGGTGTAGAACTAGAAAGAAGACTTAATATATGAGCAGGCGGGCAGACAACTAATGTCAATTCAACGCCCATAAACAAAAACATGACATGGAGTTCTTTGCGTCCAAATGCTCGAGACCTAAATTTCACGAGCCGATAATGAATCTAGAAACATAGTACAATCTCCAAAATCTCAGAACAAGATTCCACAAAATAGAACTACAATTCTCATGACACACAGCTTAGGGACAATTAACAATTAACAAGAAACAAACCAGTAATTGCACAACACAATGATTACTTGCCACCCTTCTTGGCAGCAGATTTGGTCACCTTGGCACCAGAGGGATCCTTCTTCTCCACGCTCTTGATCACACCCACAGCAACGGTCTGGCGCATGTCCCTCACAGCAAAACGACCAAGTGGAGGATACTCTGAGAAAGTCTCCACCACCATGGGCTTGGTGGGAATCATCTTAATCATACCAGCATCACCGTTCTTCAGGAACTTGGGCTCCTTCTCCAGTTCCTTACCAGACCGCCTGTCAATCTTGGTGAGGATCTCAGCAAACTTCACAGCAATGTGAGAGGTGTGGCAGTCAAGGACTGGAGCATAACCATTTCCGATCTGTCCAGGATGGTTCATGATGATAACTTGGGAGGTGAAGTTGGCAGCTTCCCTGGCAGGATCGTCCTTGGAGTTTGAGGCAACAAAACCACGCTTCAGATCCTTAACAGCAACATTCTTAACATTGAACCCCACGTTGTCACCAGGAAGGGCCTCTTGCAGAGCCTCATGGTGCATCTCAACAGACTTGACTTCAGTAGTCAGTCCAGTTGGACCGAATGTGACAACCATGCCGGGCTTGATGAAACCAGTTTCAACACGACCCACTGGGACAGTTCCGATACCACCGATCTTGTACACGTCCTGGAGTGGGAGACGGAGGGGTTTGTCTGAGGGCCTCTTTGGCTCCTGGATCTGGTCGAGGGCATCCAGGAGTGTTGGGCCCTTGTACCAGTCAAGGTTGGTGGACCTCTCAATCATGTTGTCACCCTCAAATCCAGAGATGGGGACAAAGGGAATCTTGTCGGGGTTGTAACCGACCTTCTTCAAGTAGGATGACACTTCCTTGACAATTTCATCATACCTTGCCTTGGAGTATTTTGGAGTGGTGGCATCCATCTTTTCCAAAAAGAACCAGCAAACATCAGTAGAAAGCAAAAAACAACTTACTACAAACATGCAACAGGAAAGAATTCAACGAAATATTAACCACACAGTTAACTTGAAGGAAGAAAAAATAAATATACCTTGTTGCAACAGCAGATCATTTGCTTCACACCCAGGGTAAAAGCAAGAAGAGCGTGCTCACGGGTCTGGCCATCCTTCGAGATACCAGCTTCGAAACCACCAGTGGTGGAATCAATGATAAGCACAGCACAGTCAGCCTGGGAAGTCCCAGTAATCATGTTCTTGATAAAGTCACGATGTCCAGGGGCATCAATGACAGTGCAGTAGTACTTGGTGGTCTCAAACTTCCACAAGGCAATATCAATGGTGATTCCACGCTCGCGCTCAGCCTTGAGCTTGTCCAGCACCCAGGCATACTTGAATGACCTCTTGTTCATCTCAGCAGCTTCCTTCTCGAACCTCTCGATGACACGCTTGTCAATACCTCCAAGCTTGTAGATCAAGTGGCCAGTGGTGGTCGACTTTCCAGAGTCAACATGGCCAATGACCACGATGTTGATGTGAGTCTTCTCTTTACCCATTATGAAATCTTAGTTTTGAGCTGCCATACATAAAAGTCTAAAATTTAAAAACAAAATACTAGGACACTAAAAATCACTTCTTAAATATTCAACTAGATCTAGTTGAAGTGTCCAGAACAATATCCTAGAGCTGAACTGTTACACGCAAAATGAACAAAATTAAAACATAATAATTTTAGAAGTAAGTTATCCACAGAAAATAAAATTGTATATGGCATGATTTCAGATCCAAGCAGACATAAAAATAAAAAGTCTCAAGAGCAAGAGCTTGGCACTTCTATAGTTGGACAACAAATCAATACAAAATTGATGTTTAGGAAACCATCACTACAGCAAACGAAAAACTATTTCATTTTAGGGCAGGGTATGATTCTAATGGTAAGTTAGACATGGCAGATGAAAGATAGTTCCGATGAAATTAACGATAATTAACTAATCAGTCTAATTATATTAACTTCATTTCATTTCACTGATGATTCTCAGGGCCACGCTAATCACATTCATATCAATTCAGCAACTATAAAATAAACAGTCGAATAAGAAATTTATTACTAAATACCAACAAAGAGAAACCGTTACTGAAAGTAAACAGTCAAGCAAAGAACACCTAAGCATTTCATAATCATATAAATTAGTAGCTTATTAAATCTATATAAAAAAATCAGTGACGAGATGCTGAAACCATATATATCAACTATCATGTAATAGATCTGCGTGTATAAATCTTCAACGCAAACAAAAGGCACGAAGAAATCAAAGTCAAAATCTTGCTCGAGATAGAACAGATTAAAAGATAATTAAACGGCCCAAAAACACAAATGCTAGACAGAGCAAACTGATTTACAGTCAAATTCAATTAATGATGCTATGGAGAAGGGGAGGGGAAGAGAGGCCGACCTGAAGAGAGCTGCTAAAACCCTGGCCGCTGGAAAAGATAGTAAAGAGAAAGAAATGTGAGAGTGAGAAGGGATATAGGGTTTGTAGGTATTTATTCACCTTTCTTTCCTGAAATGTCCTCGATCTGATGTCTGAATTCCCATCATGTCCTCGTCCTTGCTTGTAGATCAAGAACTGCAGGTTGCTTTTCCCTGGAAAGGGTAAATATCTTTTCAGTTATTGATATTTGATTATAGTTATTTTTTAAAATATATTTTATATTAAAATAATATTTATTTAATTTTTAAAATAAAAGTATTAAAACAATCTAAAATGTATAAAAAAATTTATTTTGAATAAAAAATATTTAAATTTTTTAAAAACATGGTTTATATCACATTTTCAAATGGTAATTTAAGAAGTTAATTTAAATTGTTTTTTAATATTTTTATATTATTTTTAATATATTAGTATTAAAAATAAATATTATTTTAATATAATTTAAATAAGGAAATATTTTAAAAAATAATACATGATACATTTTCAAACACCCTAACTTTTTTGTATTAGTATACAAGTGACCATCACACAACCCATGAGTATGAAAGCTAGATGAAATAAAGAAAATGTATGTTATTTCACCTTTGATATTTAAGATATTTAAGGTTATATTTGTTTTTATATTTTAAAAATATTTTTAAAAAATTTAATTTAATTTTTATTTTTTCTTGGTTTTGGATTAATTTTTTTATTTTTAGATCATTTTCATGTAATGATAAAATAATATTTATTTAATTTTTAAAATTATTTTTAAAAACAAAATATTAAAACAATCTAAAATATAAATATTATTTTAATATATTTTTCAGTAAAAAATCACTTCAAAAAACAGCTACAATAATATTTTTAAATAAACTCATACTTATTTACTTGTTATAAAAAATATTTTTAATAAAAAATATTTAATTCTTTTAAAAACATAGTTTATATCGTATTTTCAAATGGTAATTTACGAAGTTAATTTAATTTTTTTTAATTTTTTTATATTATTTTAATATTTAATATTAAAAATAAATGTTATTTTAATATTATTTAAATCAAAAAAATATTTTAAAAAATAATACATGCTATATTTTCAAACACCCGAATTTTTTTGTATTGGTATACAAGTGACCATCACACAACCCATGAGTATGAAAGCCTGAATGAAATGAAGAAAATGTATGTTATTTCACCTCTGATATTTAAGGCTATATTTATTTTTATATTTTAAAAATATTTTTAAAAAAATTAATTTAATTTTTATTTTTTCTTTGTTTCAAATTAAGTTTTTTATTTTTAGATCATTTTCATGCAATGATATTTAAATTAATTTTTAAAAAATAAAAAAAAATATTATTTTAATGTATTTTTCAGTAAAAAATCACTTTAAAAAACAACTACAATAACACTTCTAAATAAATTCATACTTATTTGCTTATTTATTTTTTAAAAAAATTTGAAAAGTAGTTTTTAATGTTATTTTTTAATTTATTTTTTATAACATTGTTAAATATCTTTTGAAATTAAACATGTTTTTCGCTTGTATGTATCCCCGTTATAGAATGCATCGCCCTTGATTTTGTACTTTTAAAATGAAGCATAACTTGTGTTGATGATTTTTTATCTTTGTCCTGGATTAACTTTCTCGCTCGTCATTTTTTTTTCTTTTTGCTATGCAAAATATAATTTAATTTAAGTTATTTTACTAAAAAAATTAAAAAAAATCAAATACTTAACACGAACATCCTTGCTGATTTATAATTTTTTATTTATTTTATCCCAATGATTAATTTTAGCTGTTGAAAACAAACAATTTTTGTTTTCATACACTCACCATGTAAAAACAACTTACATGTATATAATACAAGTAAAAAAAAAAAAAAGTTTTAATAATCTCATTAAAGTAAACTAAAAATTAAAAAAATTAATTATTATTTAAAAAAATGTTAGCTAGGCAGCTTCAAATTTAAATAAAAAAAATTCAAAATCAAGGAAACAGCAATGTGAGAGGTGTGGCAGTCAAGGACTGGAGCATAACCGTTATTTTTTAATTTATTTTTTATAACACTGTTAAATATTTTTTGAATTAAGTATGTCTCTCGCTTATATGTATCCCCGTGATAGAACTTGATTTTGTCCTTTTAAAATGATGCATGACTCGTGTTGATGATTTTTTATCTTTGTCCTGAATTAACTTTCTTGCTAGTCATCTTTTTTTTTTTGCCATGCAAATATAAATTTAATTTAAGTTATTTTACTAAAAAATACAAAAAAAATCAAATACTTAACATGAACATTCTTGTTGGTTTATAATTTTTTATTTATTTTATCTCAATGGTTAATTTTAGTTGTTGAAAACAACAATTTTTGTTTTCATACATGCACCATATAAAAACAACTTACATGTATACAATACAGATAAAAAAAAAAGGAAAAAAAGAGTTATAATAATCTCATTAAAGTAAACTAAAAGTTAAAAAAATTAATTATTATTTAAAAAAAAATGTTAGCTAGGCAGCTTAAAATTTAAATAAAAAAATTCAAAATCAAGGAACTGAAACACAAATAAAAAATGATTTTTTGAGATTAAAATGTAAAATTTAAAACATAAAATCATATCAATGTAACCTAGCCAATGAAACTAAAAATAAAGTCCTAGCTATACACAAAATGAAAAGGACCATGACCCTATTCACATGAAAAAAATATAATCGAACTTCACTATTTATTTTTTTCAATTTTTTGAGTTCATAGTATAATTATTTCAACTAGGTGAACATTAGTCTATGGTATAATTTGTCCAACTAGCTGAACAAATAGCTATCTTTATGAAAAAGAGTTGGATATTCTTTAATCCATCTTCTTCAAGTCATATTTCAAGGGTATTTACGAATATCATTTTTTTTTAGTCTATGCACAATGCCCTAGGCATGCTTTCAAAAATATCATTTTTTAAAAATAATTTTAACTCATGAAAAAATTATTATTATTATTATTTTAAAAAAACCCTTCTACAGCAATGCCACTAACAAACAGGATTTTAACAGCTTCAGGCAGCATATTGTAAATTCACCTCCAAGATGCGGGAAAGAAGAAGAAAATGCAGAAAACCCTGAGAAGGTTACCAGTAACAGGCCAACGACAGAGACCATAGGTGAACATTAGTCTATGGTATAATTTGTTCAACTAGCTGAACAAATAGGTATCTTTATGCAAAAGAGTTGGATATTCTTTTATCCATCTTCTTCAAGTCATATTTTAAGGGTATTTACGAATATCATTTATTTTTAGTCCATGCACAATGCCCTAGGCATGCTTTCAAAAATATCATTTTTTAAAAATAATTTTAACTCATGAAAAAATTATTATTATTATTATTATTTAAAAAAAACCCTTCAACGGCAATGCCACTAACAAACAGGCTTTTAACAGCTTCAGGCAGCATATTGTAAACT